GTACAGCATGCGCGCCTCGTTCACGAGCCTACTATTGAAGCTGCCGTTACGCTTTTGGCCTGAGGGGGCAATCGCAAGCATAAAAATTAAAAAGTCTGTTAAGTCCCTTTAAAGTGACGCAGATGTGTATTTTAATGAATAAAATGATGTGCAGTCATTTAAAGATATTGGTGGCTTCGTAACATATAACCATAAAAACTGGCTCTAAAGTACAGGACTAGCATCTCTGGAGACGCCATATTAGTTGCAATGTTTCCTTCTGGCTGGCTTGTGGTCCTGTGCCTGTCGATGACGTCACACTAGATGACTGGACGGACATACGGTTTTCAGAAGTAACGTTATCACGTTCGAAAACATTTAGACGCTAATAAAGATGAATTTATTAACAAACTGCTAAACTCTTTCCAAAGCATATGTGAAAGAACAGAATCTAAAAAGAGATGCAAGACATTTTGGCTGAGCGGTATTGCCGTAGTATGATGATGTCACTGGCAGGCGCAGGACCCCGAGCAGCTCCAGAAACTACAGCATCGGCATCGCATTCTCTCCATGGAATTAACCGAAGGACCAACAGAGTCTGAGGGGTCACGCCGAGGTCGTATGCTTTCGGCTCCACAGGCAGTGTTCCCAACTGTTTTTGACTGAAAGTAGCTGAAGTTCCCCCCAAAGTCGCTAGATGGCACTAGATGACGTCATGTGCTAATTTGCATACAACGCAATGACGTCATCTGGTTTGCGTGATGACGTCACCGGTCATGTAGAGTAAATCAAATAAAACCCACGTGATTTTATAAAAAAAAAGATTTAATTTATTTTTTAATATTTTATTAAAATAAAAAACCCATCGAATACAAAACAGCAGCCTTTAAAACAACAAGGAAAGACGGCACAAAAAAATGGAAGGAATATTTCTATTTTGCCTGAAGAGAATGGAACTCGCAAACACAAAAATATTAAATTGATAGGAATGTATGTATGATTGAATTAAAATGAATTTTCTCTTGTAGTTTTCAAGTGCCTTGAGATGTATTCTTCTGTTGTGATTCAGTGCTATATATTGACCTAACAGATAATATATGTTTTGTTTTTGTTTGTTTTTGTTGTTTTTAGTACTTTTGTGTAAAAAGAAGCAGGTCGTATTTAGTACTCAGAAACGTAACATGCAAACTGCCAATGACCTGAGGTGTTTGTCTTACAGTATTATTCTGTTTTTATAAAAGTTTTAAATGTGCTATGTTATTGAACTCATCATAGAGTTCCAAGGTTCCTTGAATGCACCACAAGTGGTGCGAGAAGCCATGTGCGAGTGCGACGCTGCCTGCCAGTGCCAGCCGAGCTCGGCTGCCGAAATGCGGCAAGATGGCGGAAGGAGCGGTCGCCCTTCATGAAGCTCCGGTTCCTAGCTCAAATAATGGACTTGTGAAATCCCACAAACGTCTGATTGGCCAGCGGGGGTAGCGTGATCATGCTGCACGCACATGCGCAGATCATTTTCTTTCTGATCCTCTGGAAGGAAGGACGGTCCTGTCGCTTCAGATTCATCTCTAATCTGCAGGTAAAGCCGGCTACAAAGTTGTAGTCAAAGTAGCTGAGGGGGTCAGAAATGTCGCCAGATTTGTCGCTAGGCGTTTTTTTGAAAAAAAAAAAGTCGTTAAGGGGGTCTGAAAAGTCGTTAGAAATGGCGACAAAGTCGCTAAGTTGGCAACATCGTCCACAGGTAACAACATTTACCGTAAAGTTTTTAAACTAGCGACAGTCCCGACGATATGGTATAAAACTATCCTGACATGTACGTGCTGCCCCCCAGGGCCATGAAACTACACGCTGCTGCTTTAATTTAAAGATCCGACTGACGTTTTGCCTCCGGCTTTTCTCAGGATCAGTGTTCATACGGTTTAATAACACGTGTGATTGAAACAGCTTCAGCCGTCTGTCGGTTTAATAAGAAAACACTAATCAGGAATGTTAAATTACTCCGTCGTTCTGTCAAAGAAGTGAAATTTATGACTCTGGAGCGTGCAACACTTCTTTCTGCCCTCTGGACAACATCCACTCACGACTAAGAAAATAGGTTTTGGTCACCTTTATTAAGAACCGTTTTACAGTAATAGACTTAAGATGGAACAGACTAAAGTGGCTCTTATTTGCAGGTGATAAAAGCTTCTAAATACTAATAAATTATTGGGTTTTTTTCATCGTTTTTAAGTTTTTTCCAACCCAGAATGACTGAACACGTCTCTGGTTGATGTGAGTGTAAAATCAATAATACTTTCTTCTCTGTTTCTGTGTCCGAGGGAGCATCGGAACATTTAGCTGGTAAAATGAAGGGATGGAAGGCTGCGCTGTGATTTATTAGCTCTCCTCTCGGTACCCGTGGTGTGGGAGGGGACTCGGTTTGCCGCCTGTGACGTGAGGAAATGAGGGAACGAGCCACAGTTTGATGAGCCCTTTGAGCCCGAGACGAGACAGCCACTTAGAAACCCTGACTGGCCTGAGGCTGGAGAGAGAGCCAAAAGAAGGAAACACGACGGTACGCCCTCACTAAAACTGCACTGGAACAGAAACCCGTCATTCTGACTCCTTGTCCTAAAACTTGACACTGAAGAACAACCAGAGTCCCATTTGGGGGCCGCTCTCCTCCCCTCAGGCCGCTCACTGATAAAACTCTGTTCTTCATCCCCTCAGCTGCAGCCATCATCTCTGGATGTTGAGAGGAGACTTGAACGAACCAATCAGAGCAGAAAGAGCTCACGGAAAAGCACACAGCCCTCCTCCCAGGCGCTGGCTTCTTTAATCCATTAAGGTCTGACCTTCTATCTCTACTTGCTTTGTCTACGTGGAGCCGACGGGCACGAACGGGCGACTCGCCACAAAGAAACACTGTGAAAGAAAGATTTGGCTGAGTTAGACATCAGAGGTAGATTTCTGAACGGAGGGAGGAGATTTTTATCATGATGAACCACCAGCCGTGTGTTTATCTGGGGTCTGCTGACACACGTTGTGCTCCTGGACCTTGGAGAGGCAAGTTGTCTCTTAAAGACTGAGCTCAGGAGGAGTCGCAGAGCTAAGACTCGGTATGACATCACGCTGCTGTCTTGAAACAGACAGGCCTGACTCGAGCTCAGCAGAAGTGCAGGGAGCAGGGATCGACCCTGGGCCATGACCAGTCAGTCAGGCTTCACCAGACGGGTGGGGGAAGGGTTTCAGATCGGCCCCGTTGACGTTTCACTACTCAAACATCACCCATCACATAAATCATCTGTTTTTTCCCTTTTTAACCCTAGAGGCACGGGAACGACGACGCAGTTCGTGCACGATGATGCCCTGACTTCTAAAAACGTAGAATTTGGGATAAATCGTGAATTCTTGATGAATCTGCAACCTGTTTACACATTTTCTGTTGGCCTGGGTTCCTGCTCGTAGCGCGTGTGTAATAAACGGTGTCGTAAATAAACAAACATTATTGTCACACATCTGTCTGAATAGATGAACCTGCAGGCCTCGACAGGCAGGTTTTTCAGGATGTGTAGCTCCTAAGGTAACCCTCTGGAGGCAGGCGTTGCAGATCTGCAACGGTTAAAACCTGCCTGGTTACTCCACAAACGTACGTCAGGGTTAGGGTTCGTCCTTTTATCGAAACTTATGTTGAGCCTGAGAGGGTTACGGGCAAAACGACGTCCTTTATGAATTATTAAGACGTGTCTGGTCACATGTGATAGTTTACCACCGATCACAACTGTTAGATTGTGATTAGTCATGTATTGCAGAATAATTATGATTCTTGCAACCAAAGGGAGTTGTTGTTGTCTTTAGCTTTCATTCAAAAGGAATTCATTCAGAACCATAAAACATTCAGTGGGGGAAGGCTGCCAGAGCACAAGGCTGAAATCAGCAGCCAGACACCAGCGTGTGGCCGAGAAACAGAGACCTCTGAGAGGAGAGGGTCGTCATCATCATCATCATCCTCACAGAGGGGTGAGGACAGAAGCATGGGGAGAGGGGCAGAGGTTCTGATTCAGAGATGTCGCTAAAGAACAACTCAAGCTACTGATTTAGTTTAAACCACTCAAATGTTGTATAGAAAATCAAATCAAACATGTTTGAAGATCTCTCTCCTAACTGGTGTCACACGTGCCGGCGAACGAGGCGGAGAAGAGGTGAGGATCCAAACGGGGTGAGGAAGACAGGCAGACAGGTAGGAACAGGACATAGAAGCAATGATCCGACACAAGACACAGAACAGAAGGGGTTTAAATGCAAGAGGGCCGGGAGCTAGGGTGACTGGGAAACGAGAGGCAGGTGGGAGCAATTAACGGAGACACAAGGCTGAACCAGCCGGGGAGACAGGACAGGGTGTGACAATTGGAAGCAAATTTCCAAGCTGAATTTACTGGTTTCAGTCATTTTATCAGACTAATTTAATCATTTTCAAACGCAGTTGCGGTTACTGTTAGTAAACATGAATGCTTAAAACTGAGACTTAACCAACAAACAATGAAAATGACCATCTTTGCATGTCTGCAGCTGTTTTAAACAAGTTAGTGAAAAAAATCCTCAGGAAAAAAAAGCTATTTCATGAGAACTGATCAGTTTGAAAAGATGTTGAGATCAAATGTGTTAACGGTTGCTCTGGGGGACAGACTGGTGCCTGAGAGTAAAACTGAGCTCATTCATTCTGTAAATGAGGACAAACGAACGCGTTTTGAAGAATCTGGGAATCTTAACTGTTGCCAGGTCTTGTGTGCGTCTCTGGAAGAAGCTGCGTACACTCTTTGCAACCTTAAGCAAAACTAAAATGACCAACTTCACATATTTATTCTGATTTATCTGAGGTGTTGATTTTCTTTAAAGTTTAATTTATGACACGTTTTTCCACTAAATTCCCTCAAAACACCTAAAGCCTTTTCCTCACACCCAGCTTGCCTCTAACCTGTAAAACCAGTGACGTTTACTAGAACTTCTCTCTCCTCCGGACGCGTGACAGGTCGCGGTGAACCTACCTGCCAGAATGGCTTTTCCTGGATGAGTTAGTTTCGCTCTCCCAGCCGGCGCCGCGGCAGCCAGACACCGCGGTCTGGAGAAGGGGCTGAAGAATGTGCATTTGTCCTGCATGATCACTCACAAACGACAGAAAATCTACCAAAACTTAGCTGCTACGTTCTCTTTATTGTTTTCTTTAGTTATTTCCGGCTCTCCTTGAAGCGGAAAGGCGCGCGCGCATGAGACGGCTGGTGCGCTCTCCTGGACGCAGGTGATGTGTTCTGCGCCTCCAGGATCTCTCCGCGAACAGAGGGCGGATACCATCAAGGAAACTGGGATAGACTCTTTCCGACGTGTGTTGACTGTAACCATGGTGATTATCGATGCTGGTGCGTAAGAGCGCAAAGCAAACCGGAAGCGATGATGGATGAGGGTGGGCTTTTGAGAAGTCATCGCGCAAAAATATAATAGGCCCAGGGGCGGTCTACAAAATTATTTATGGGGTGGCAGAAGAGGAGCAAACATTTTTCTAGGGTGGCAATACATATGTACGCACATATTATTTATATATATATATATATATATATATATATATATATATATATATGTATGTATATATATATATATATATATATATATATGTATATATATATATATATATATATATATATATATATATATATATATATATATATATATATATATATATATATATATTTCCACTGCAATATACTGCAACGAGATATTGTACTCTCACCATTCCTTTTCACCCTGTACACCTCAGACTTCCAGTACAAATCAGAGACCTGTCATCTACAGAAATACTCAGATGACTCTGCAGTTGTCGGGTGTATCAGAGATGGACAGGAAGCTGAGTACAGAGAGCTGGTGGAGCGCTTTGTGGCATGGTGTGGAAACAATCATCTGACCTTGAACGTGAACAAAACAAAGGAGATGATTTTAGACTTCAGAAGAAACAGGGTGGAGTCAAACACTGTTTCCATCATGGGAGAAGAAGTGGAGGTGGTTGAGGAATACAAATACCTTGGAGTTCACCTGGACAACAGACTGGACTGGAGAAAGAACAGCATAGCCGTTTACAAGAAGGGACACAGCAGACTGCACTTCTTGAGGACGCTTAGGTCCTTCAGTGTCTGTAGCAAGATGCTGCAGATCTTCTACAAGTCTGTTGTTGAGAGTGTAATCTTTTCAGCCATCATCTGTTGGGGTAGCAGCATCAGAAGCAGGGACCTGAAAAGGCTCAACATTCTAATAACAAAGGCTGGTTCTGTTCTGGGGACGACTGTGGAACCGCTGGAGGAGATAATGCAAAGAAGGATTCTCCAGAGAATCAAGAACATGATGGACAACCCTGAGCATTCTCTTCACAAGACTGTCCGACAACGGAAGAATGTCTTCAGTCAGAGGCTTCTTCAGTTTCGCTGCAACACTGACCGCTACTGGAGATCCTTCCTGCCAACAGCCATCGTAATATACAACAACTCTTTGATGACTTGATTATTATTATTATTCTGAGCTACTACAGCAATCAGTTTCCCTCTGGGATTAATAAAGTATTTTTGGATTGAATTGAATTGTATTTGTTTTGGGTCCTCATTTAATCAGCTTAAAGGCTCATCACGAAAGTAAAACAATAAAATTGTCCTTCCTACAACGGCCGAATGCGGCAGTTTCCATGTTGCTCAGCAAAACAGTTCACACATTCATCAAGATCCAAAGATTTGGCCTGTTTTGATTCAATGCTGAGTACAGGCTAGCTTTTCTCTGTCAAAGCAGACTGCAAATAGGTCTTTATGAGCCTGAGAGTTGAAAAACTTTGATTTTTCTTTGTAGCGACATGAACGGCCTCATTTGTGACCCAAAGGTCACACTTCCCCAGCTAGGTCACGCTGTCCTGGCTGCACTTCTATTTACAGATGATCCGTCACAGGAGACATAAAGTCTGCTAAACCATCTTTAATCTGACTGCCTTTTATCTGTCTGCTGTTCCATCCCAAGATGAAGGACACTTCAAGATTTAAAATAAAAAATTTTAATAAACTCTTTTCACTGGTTATTACAAGGTTCATAAATGATCATCATAAATAATCATCATGGTTCATTATAAATGTATTTAATTACTGAAATGAATTATTATTCTTTGGCTGATAACAATTATTATTGATGATAATCAGTAATGTTTAACAGTGTAAAGAAGGTCATGCACACTTATACACACCATGCAGGGGACAGACATCAGGTTAGTTAACTGCACCTCACGTCTTTGCTCCATAACCAAAGCTTTCTATTTCTGAGGGGGCGTGTCCTGAGGTTTAATAAAACCAAACTCCTCAGTTCAAGCTGACAGTTCTGAAACAACCAAAATCTCTCCGTGGCGCGAGAGACCCAGAGGACAGGGTCGGCCGCTCGAAGCCTCCACTAAGCTGTTCTGTCACGCTGATAGAATCACTCCGAATAAACGCCAACTGCAACCAGCTGACGCAAAACTCCTTCAGAGTTAATTTAAGACGCAAACTCAACACCTGTGTGTCTGCGGCAACTCTTGGACCTGAGTCTGTACCACTCGGGTCTTCCCTACCGGACCGAGTACCCAGAGGCTGACAACATCCTCCCTTGACCTCCGGATTCACACAGAGGGTCGTCTGAACGGTGAGGTAGAACACAGATTACGTCCGTATGCTGTTCCCTCTAAGAAACAACATAGTTAGCTGCAAAACAAACTCTTTCACCCAGAATGCGTTTCTCTCTCTGAAAGAAACCTTCTGAGATTCCACTCCCACATCCAACACACGCATTTCATTTTAGTCCTCATCCAGACACAGGTTGCTTTTAATATCAAAGTTTTATAAATTGTCATCTTTAAATTGTTGGTAATAAATTCTTAACTTTTTAAACCTGACTCTTCTTTGAAATGAAACACAGAGTGGTGTACATTTGGTCATTGATCGAGCAAAGATTTCTTCAAGTCTTCTGATTTAATAAACTTTTGCTATTAATTTAAATCTCTTAAATATTAATCTTTGGATTAAATATAGACCAAGCCAGCTGGTGTATGAACTTATCCGTGGATATCCATGTAAATATAGGTCCATAAGACAAATTGTTTGATCTTTTCCAGGATTTAACAGAGCTGAATAGCAACAACGTAAAATTCTAGTATGTAGATTGTCTACGCTACACCTTTAATTCATAGCTGCCAGCTGGGGTGGCAGCAGGGGTGGCAAGGCTTTTTCAGGGTGGCAACTGCCACCTTATGCCACCCTTGTAGATCCGCCCCGATGATATCCTAGTTATAAAAACCACTGATTTAAGAATTATGAAAGGAGCTTGTCGCGGGGATAAAACAACAAGGCGAGGCGGAAATGTAATTCTCCCAGAGATGCAAACGCTCCACACATCCGACCACACCCTCCCCAGGGAATCAGGCAGCATCCATCATGTCCAGACAGCCTGGTCACCAAAACGCCCGTCTGGATCCAACAAGGAGGGGGGAGGAAACGCGTGTGGCAGAAAAAGGTGTAAAATACATCCTAGGCTCAACTTTCAAACGATAATCATCCACTGACCCTTCACAGTGACCTGAAGTCAGATTTAGTTTATCACAAAAAGATGAAACTTGATAAAAGGACACAGCAGGTTTTCCTCATGACTTTTCTGTTTATTCAGCTGATTTTTATTTTTTCACTTTTCTTTTCTTACAAAAATCATTATACTTCTGGACTAACACTTCATCGACAACACTATTATACTTTGTTAGGTACTTCATCGTATTTTAAATTATACACTGTTAAGTACAATAAAATTGTATTTAGGTGGCACCAGGACGTTTTTTTTTTATCTCATTGAAATCTGAAGCTTCAACCCTTTTTCTTTGTTCCCGTTTGTTGGGTGGAAAAGTGTCGTCGTACATCACTTTGTTTACGACGCAGCATCTGTAATGAGACTTTGTGCTCCTGGCAGCAGTATTATTATATGGCGACACATGCACAGACTATTCTTTCCTCTTTCTGTCACACCCATCCTGAAACTCCAGCAGATTCTTGAAAGGTCGATCGACTCTTGAAGGTTTGCAGCTGCAGCAGCGAGGATCTCCTGGTGCAGTGTGTGTGTGTGTGTGTGTGTGCGTGCGTGCGTGCGTGCACACCCAGATGGAAACCCTTCACAGCAAATGTCTTTAGTCTGAACAGCAAACACTCAAACCGCTTTGTGAAAGAACAAATCAAACTATTGCACAGAAACTGTCATTTTTACCAGAGCATGAGACAGTCGTGGGTTTAAATGTGAACAAACAAGCTGCCTCCATGTAAGGCCGCAACAGTGCTTTAGCAGGAAGAGACAAACGCTCTTCCTCCTTTCCTCATCAGGTAAGTCTCTTTTATCAGTGCTGAGAGGTCATGACACAAAACGAGCTGGGGGGCTAAATCTACATGGAATAACCAGAAGGTCGAGTGGTTTGGTGGGACTAGACGTCTTCTCCAGCAGCTGAGGCCCCTTCATGCTGTTTTAGGTGAGGGGCGGGGTTTCAAATTGCCTCGGTGCCACCACCAGTCTCACTCATCTCTCTGGTGCCACCGTGTCATCAGGGTGTGGTGAAGCGTGACATGAAGGTTTCTGCTGTAGTTTCAGTGAAAACCATCAGGGTCTTGTTAGGAGATGATGATCTCCGCTCCACTTGCCAGGACCCAGAGCAGCACAGGGAGGGGAAAAAACACGGGAGTCGGAGGGAAAAGGGGGAGGAGTTTGCACTCTACATATTGAAGCCATATCCGGGCGGGGTGGGGTAACCTGCAGCAGCCGGCGGGTAGCTGTAGCCTGGGTAGGGTGGCTGAGGGGTGACGGGGGCAACAGGAGAGGCAGCGCCGGTTAGCATCAGCTGCTGGCCTGCTAAAACACACACACACACACACACACACACACACACACACACACACACACACACACACACACACACACACACACACACACACACACACACACACACACACACACACACACACACACACACACACACACAGATTAGTTCAACATTATATAGTCAGATATAAAAAGAGGAAAAGTTTCTACAAGAATTTTGTTTTAGATTAATATTGATTTAAAGAGCAAGTCACCCCCAAATAAACTTTTTTTGCTGATAAACTATATAAACGTGTGTCTAATCGTGCTGCAGACACGTGTAGCCAATAGTTTTGCACTTTAGTGCATTTTAGTTAAAATTAAAATATTCTGCCTAAAACTGGCAGTGTTGTGCCGTTGTCAGGTAAAAACTCTGCACTGTATTTGAATTTAAATCTGCCACCGCTATTGGCTAAGAGGTATGCTATGATGTAAACTGGTACATTATGATGTCACAATGTCATGAGTGTGTGTATTTGTTAGTGGCTCCACCCTCTCGGCCTGCTAGGCAACAGCATTTGTTACATTTTTCAAACAGGAAGTGGGAGTGGAGTACGCTTCTTGTAAGGTGTGACTTGCTCTTTAAAGAGCAAGTCACCCTCTACCAGAGTCTAACTCCACTCCCACTTCATGTTTGAAAAATGCTACAAATGCTGTTGCCTGGCAAACCGAGAAGGCAGAGCTGCTACACACAGGCTCACGACAGCATCGTGACATCATAATGTACCAGTTTACATCATAACATACCTCTTAGCCAATAGCGGTGGCAGATTTAAATTCAAATGCAGTGCAGAGTTTTTACCTGACAACGGCACAACACTGCCAGTTTTAGGCAGAATATTAAAATTTTAACTAAAATGCACTAAAGTGCAAAACTATTGGCTACACGTGTCTGCAGCACGATTAGACACACGTTTATATAGTTTATCAGCAAAAAAAAGTTTATTTGGGGGTGACTTGCTCTTTAAGTAAAGAAGCTGAAACTCTGCAATTATAAAATATTTACACAAACTGCCTAAATAAAAATGCATAAAGGAGTCAAAACGTTTTTATTTTACAAGTTAACATTTTTAAAAATAAAAGTTTGAAATAAATAATTTCAACAATTCCATTTTATTTTCATGCCGTTTGCATTTGTAATTAACTCTATTTTATCAACCAGACCCGTAAAATTTCCTTTGCAAAGTGCATAAACGGCATTTCTACTTTTTATGGAGTGGAGAACAAATATTTCTGTCTACTTTTCTTCTAACATGTGACGAAAATAAATAAATTACAATAAAAGCAAGACATAATTTCCTGCTGCTGCTTTCAAATAAAGGCAAAAATATTATTTTTACAAATCAATGACAAGGGTTGGGGTTACTGTTGTCATAAAATCCAGCATTTTATCATTCGATCTTATTTTTAAAGAAAAAACTTTTTTTTTACCTAAAACTAAAAACCTGACAGCTGATTTAGCTAAAAGCCAAATAAACAAGCTCACACTCACACCCTTACATCCAAACTTCATCTCCATCTAATCAGTAGATTGAGTTCATATTTATTTTAGGGCTAACAGAAATGTTTAATTCTGACAGGATGAAAACTCTGTAAACTTACCAAAAACTATCGGCTGAGGTTCTTTCACATCGTCATCAGTTTTTCTTTTGCTGTCTGATTCCTCCAGTTTGTCCACCTGAAGAGAAAACCAGAAACCAGACTTGAAGTTCACAGACGGCGGACATCCTACAGAAATTGACCGTTTTTCTTGAGGTATTAAGAAATCCTAAAGCATTTCCAGAGTTATTAAAGGAGACATTAATTATATTTGTCACACCTGAATCCTAAAACAAACTTGACTCAACGGTGCAGCTAGCTACCAAAGAGAAGGTGACATGCAGGTCCGGTGAGGAGTCCAATTAAAGGGTCAGTCCATCAAAATGAGGATGTTTCCACAGTCGGGATCAGCTTTGGTCTTTAGAGATTAAATAAGTCACTGACGACTGTTGTCGTGTTTTTATTAGTTTAAAGGGACTTTACGGAGTTTTGAATTTTTATGCTCGTGATTGCCCCCTCAGGCCAAAAGCGTAACGGCAGCTTCAATAGTAGGCTCGTGCACGAGGTGCGCATGCTGTACGTGCACACTCCTTAACGAAAATAACAGCTGAGACAGTCCTGTGTGTGTGTGTGTGTGGTGTGTGGTGTGTGGTGTGTGTGTGTGTGTGTGTGTGTGTGTGTGTGTGTGTGTGTGTGTGTGTGTGTGTGTGTGTGTGTGTGTGGGGCCCGGAGGACAGAGGGCAGGAGAACACGCAGCTAATTAATTAAATAATTTGGTTCTGTAGCTTTCTCTTCAGCACAGCCGACAAAGGTTTATGATGGCTCAGTCCTCCTGCATGCTCAGATCATTCCCTTCCCTTGCTTGAAAAATTGTTCCAAAATGAAAGTTGAACCCACATCTTTTTTATCTGTGAATTCAATGCCGTTCGGCGAGTCTCAAATAAAAATTTGGGCATCTTACTGTAAAAAAAATACACCATTAATGTAACAAAGAATCTCTAAATAAACTATGTTCACATCCAGAATCGAACCCAGGTCTTCTGCATGAGAGTCAGACATTTTACTAGTTGAGCTACACTCTAGTAACATTCACAGTATCTGTAACATTTATATCCTTGATGACAGCTGAAACAACGTCAAACCAAAGAACGGTTCGGAGTGAAAATGACTATTTTTTTGCTAATTAGCAGGAAATATCTAGAAGAAAGTTCTACAGAAAGTAGCTAAGGGTCCTCAGAAATGTAGCTAGCTTTGTCAGTAGGCGTTAGGAACAGCGACAAAGTGGCACTGCCTCTCTCTCTGCTGCTAAAGCTACGGATAGCAAATGCTACGGGCGATGCCTGAGCGTGAACGCGCATGAAGCAGCCTGCTCGACCCGAGCAGCTCTCTTTTTCTGTGATTTTACAGAAAAACAGGCAATCACAGTAAAAATGCCAGGGCTCATTCTACAGGACCAGGGCATTGCAGGAGAATGTATGAAGAAGACATTTATTATTTCTATACATGTTCTGGCTGTCAAACCTCCATAACGCCCCTTTAACACTCAGCAGAAGGTAGCTTCTGATTTAAAACAAAATCAAGTCAAGAATCACAAAAAAAAGATTTTTGATTGGAAATCTCCCAAAAAGGTCCATTTAAAGTGTGGCAACATCAGAAGTACATGAGCAGTGTTTGAACTGACCCTTTAAATGCAGCATTACAACAGCAACAAGGTTAAAGAAACACTACATATTAAGTAAGAAGCAGCTGCACGGTCCATGCCCTTATGCTAACATCTCCACTCAGCCTCGTCCCGTTAAACGCTCTCATGCATCTATAAGCAGGGATCAACCTACGCTTTTACATTCTGACCAACTTAAAAACCAGGCTGCATGTCAGACGTTCACAGCATTAGCTCGCCCTCATCAGCCATTCGAGTGAGTTGTCCGCAGCACCGTTTGTGCAAAACAATCAGGCGTTGTGCTCCAACGTTCAGCAGAGCCTAAAAAGGTTTCTGATGCAAGTGGAAGCGGTTTAAACCGCGGTTTGGGATTTGGTTCGGTGAAAAACAATAAAAACTTTTTAAATACATAAAAAAGATCCGATTTTAAAAAGTGTGGGGTGGGTTCGGAGGGGTCTAGACATCGGAAATCATCTATCATAATAATAACTGAAAATAATTTCTGAAATGCATGTTTCTAGGAAATAAATGTAAAAACATCTCCTGATAAAAGAGACTCAGTTTTAGTTTTTGCAGCTCCGAGTTAACCCAACCAGAGTTTGTTGACCAGAAGTTTATAACAGAGATTTATCCAACTAGTCTAGAGAGGTTCGTTCCTCCTGGAGAACCCTGACTGTGATGTAAAGGAGATCATCTCTAACTTTCCTCCGAGTCCCTCCCCTGGCCTCAACAAAAAAACAATCACCTACAAGAGCCTCGAGCAATGACCAACAGAACTGTGTATCCAAAAGATGGAGCCATCAATCAACGAGAACGCACCCCAGTTCCCAGCATGCACCACGGGCAGACGCGGATGCCTCAGACAGATTAGCACATCAACCCTAGCTTGAATGCTAACGTGACTTCTAAATAAATTATATCAGTCTGTAAACGTCAAGCCAACTGGGGAGGAGGCGTGTCGTGGTTCATGGGAGCCATCTCGTCTGACTCCAGCTCCTCCCAACCCCCCCCCCCCCCCCCCCCCGGGGGGGTTGAGCTTGTGTGTTCGGACTACGGGGGGGGGGGGGGGGTTGGGGGACGGACGAATAGGGATTGATCTTCAGTGTACAGGTAATTAGCGTGGCGGTCAACCTTGTGCTAAACAGACTTTTGCTTTAGCCCGTTGAGGCATTAGTGGGTAGATGATAGCCTCAAAGCTGCCTGACTCCTGTCGGTTTAAGACGATTCCCTGCTTCAAAACTGCAGGATTGTTTCAAACAAGTGATCAGCAACTCCCGCGAAACCAGATAGAATCAGGTGTCTGAGCAGGAACATACCAAAAACATTACTCGCCCGTTAGCACCACAAGGCGTGGCTTTCAGCTCCTTCCAGGAGGGGGTGGGAGCTTTAGTCCCAATTTAAAAATCTCCTCCTCCTCCTCCTCTCGTTGATGACATCATGCTACAGACCCCAGCTTCAACCTGTTTCACTTCATCTAGTAGACCTTAAAAATACCACCTTAAGTTCAAATGCAGTCCCATGACAACGAAGTTAGAGGTTAGACCAAGATAAGCTAAATATGGCCATGAAGAAAAATAAATACTGAACAGGCTTTGGATCCAACCTCAGTATAAAGCAGAAAACGTTCACTAAGAAGAATCTTTATGTAAACTGTTGTTTTCATCATGTAGGAGCACAAATAATAATTATTCTATTGTTCTCCATAAAAAAAAAGTTTAATCTACAGCCTCTAATGTGATTTCAGATCACAAAATGTTTCCACATTTAGTCATTTGCAAGAATCGGAGTTGGTTTTTATCATTTTTTAATTCACCTAAGTGCTGAAAACCTACACCGAAACAGAAAACGAGCTAGAAAACGGCCTTTTTTGATCACTTTCCTGCAGATGCACTTTAATTTAATAACAAACTGGAACAAAGCCTGCTCACTAAGACTACAGTTCTCCAAGACCAGAGCTAGTTAGGTTGTTTTCAGTCTACAGTCCATGCTAGGTTCCTACATCAGAAACCTGAGACGTGTTACAACAAAAACAAACAGCACAATAATAATAATAAAGAGGGCCAGAGACCGTCACCTTCACTGCAAACCCATCAACCTGGAAAAGAACCCAAAGAGATGACTGCACATGTTTTCAGGTGAGTAGTTCATACAGACCGGTAGAACGTGCTCCTTCACCGCTAACTCATCAAGGAAAGTTTGTAAGGATGATCTCTTCATCCTGATCTTCATTGCTAACCTTGGTGAGGTACTCTCTCATGACTTGGATGAAGTATGGCATGGCAAAGTCCATGATGTTGTGCCTCCAGGCCAGCTCCAGCACCACGTCAGGATGCAGGAGGTCATAGGAAGCGAACAGGCAGGCAGCAAAGCACTCCTTCCTGCCCTCCTCCAGGAACCACTGGAGCAGAGTCTCTGCCAGCTCAGCTTCCTTAGACTCTGCAGCGTACAGCATGGCATCCTGGGGAAAAAAATCATAATGCGATGAAGTTCCTAGTTGAGATTAGAGTCAAATCTTTATCAGAAGATAAAAAGAAAAATATAAACAGCCCCCTCTCCTGGAAGGAGGAGGAAACTTTAAAGTCGTTTCAAAACGTGTACGCATCATCAAATTTCAAGATCCTTACCTTGTAGAGTTTGTCCGTCTTGCAGAGCTCCACACTCTGCCTCCAGCGGTTGTTTCTTTTATAAAGATAAGCAGCAATACGTCTGAACTCAATCAGCTCGTGTTTTTCTAACCTCTGAGCCAAGCCGATCATGTCAAAGTTGTCGTAAGCGTCGATGGAGGCCCTCAGTCCCTGCAGACGAACACAGATTCAATCCTGAGGCAACAACTGGAACCGTTCATAAAAATACATCAGCAGAGCTGCAACGCTCAAAGGGAGAATCGATGAAAGCAAACCTTGCATCTTGAAAATTTCACCCTAATTTGAAAAAAGCTCAATTCTATAACTTCATGGTCAAGTTTGAGTTACCCCTCCTTTCCACCGGGCGTCAGGAGTAGGGTCGTCACGGTGTGCAAATGTAACCTCACGGTTATTGTGAGCAAAATTATCACGGTTTTCGGTATTATCGCGGTATTTTTTTAACGCGTTACATTTTCAGACAACTACATAAACCCTGTATATCAGGAAAATATCGTCCTCAGTTTGTGTCTAAATTTTGCCTAAAATGTGTTATTTTGTAATTATGTTGTTTATTTGTTTTCATTTTTCCCCTTTAGTCTTTAAAATACCAATATTTGCCCATAACTTCTTATTTTTTGTCTGTCTGATGTGATCATTTTAAAAATATTAGACCAGATGATACTCAGTACTCAAGTAGCCTTCTAATCAGATACTTTTTTACCCTTACTTGAGTAATAAACCCTATATCAGGAAAATATTGTCCTCGGTTTGTGTCCTTCCAGTGAGCTTTGCAGATGTGGGAAAATGTCATCAGGCAGTAATCATTGTTAAATTCATAATTATTCTCGGAGAGAGACCAACTCTTATCTGCCCCTGGGAGCCCCGTAATGCATAGCGTCATTTCAACATGGCGGTGTCCGCGACACGGTTTATATGCAGGTAGCGGCGCTGCGGCTGCTTTATATAGCGACTCGTTGCGTTCTCCCTCAACCCAAATCCTCGGATCACGCATTTTAGCTAAAGCGCTAGCGTTAGCTTGCCTTGCGTTAACTGTAGAGTTGTGGGTGATGGTCACGCTGATGTGTCATGAGATTTGAAGCGTTGCTGCCTTTCACAGACACTTTTTCTGCACGTGCTGCAAACAGGATAGCCGTCTTCTATCAACTGTCCCTCGGCATTCTTCAGATATCCAAAAGATGCCCGTACTTCCCACTTTGTCTTCTTTGAGGGATAATAAATGTCCTGAGCGCTGCCGTCTCCTCCTTTGGCCGTTATTTCAGCTTTAGCTTCAAGAAAGTTTTGGTTGTAAACAACAAAGTGCGCATGTGCCGCCGGCAACTTCAGCAGATGATACGGTGGCTGGTAAGGGTCACCGCGCCTACACCGCAGCCACGGTAATCCACCGAGATGATATATTTTTAAAAAAAACAAGACTGTTATTATTATTATTGTCAACTTTTTCTTATCGGGGTTTACCGCTACACTGGTTACCGTGACAACCCTAGTCATGAAATGTACTTTGTATAAATTAGCCGCCGTTATAGTACACGGGTTCCTCTCCACCGGCAGTAAATTGTATAATTTTGGAAATGTCCCAGAAGCAAAGGGATGCTATCATTATGTTTCAAGTTGATTTTTTCTGTCAAAGATGTCAAACTCCGCAGTTTAGAATGGGCCAGACAGGAAGTCAGACACAAAAGCAGCGTAAAACATCTGGAAACTTTCAAAATAAAAGTTACGCACAGATAAATGTACGTCATTTCCTGCGAAACCTCCATAGTCGATGTAAACGGAACAGAAAATAAACCACAGAGCTTTTCGGATACATGCAGTCATTCTCCTCCTTGCTTGTTATGGCGTGGAACGTTTCAGATGCGAAACGACTGAAACGTTCCGGTTGGGAGGAAGCTCGTGGGTAAAACTCCGTTATTACATTACGTGCCACTTTTACGTGCATCGGAAAGGAGGCTTTAGAGTTTCATTCCATGCTGTCGTTCTTTTTAAAACACAGAAACAGTTTTGTTTACCTGTTTTGTCGCTACGTTTCGCCGGCGGCTGCAGGCTTCTTCAGGCTGACGCTGACCGCCGGCGAAACGTAGCGACAAAACAGGTAAACAAAACTGTTTCTGTGTTTTAAAAAGAATGACAGCATGGAATTAGAACCACGACACAGCAAGAACACACCTAAGATGTTAAGAGTTTTATTTTCTACTACAGACCTGGAAGTCCTCCTCTTCCGTCAGCAGGTTGTTGAGAGCTTCATTGACAGATTTATTGTTGTGGTTCTGAACAGACCTCAGGTACGGCTTCACCAGCTGCAGCTGATCCATCTAGTCACAAATAAACAAACGTAACAGGAAGAAGACTTGAACTGGGCTATATTTGGACATGTCCTCTTCCCTTTTCGCAGGGACAGGACCAGCGACCATATGATCACCGCTAAAACTGCGTCTATTACTCCAATATTTAAAAACCCCGGCACTGATCCCAATTATTTCAATAATCTTCATCCCATCTGAAATCTTCCCTTTCTTTCAAAAATCCTGGAAAAAAATAATCTGTTCCACTCCATGCTCACCTCACCCTGAATAGCCTCTACGAGCCCTTCCGGTCTGGTTTTCGCCCTGGCCACAGTACAGAACCTGCACTCATAAAAATCACGAACAACCTCCTCACTGCTGCCGATGCTGGACAGCTCAATCCTCATCCTCCTCGACTTGAGTTCGGTCTTCGATACCATCTCTCACACCATCCTCCTCCATAGATCGTCTTCCCTTGGCATTTCTCATACCCCGCTTGATTGGTTCTGCTCATATCTCTCTGGCCGTACTCAAGTCTATCCAACTCAAATCCTTCACTTCCCGTCCTTTCCCTGCCACTACCGGAGTCCCCCAAGGCTCTGTTCTCGGTCCACTTCTTTTCATCACTTACCTTCTTCCCCTGGGAAATATTTTCTGTAAATTTGACATCCATTTTCATTGTTACGCGGATGACACCCAGCTCTATGTATCCTCCAAACCCTCCTCTTCACTCCCTGCTTCCTCCCTCACCAATTGTTCATTTGAAATCAAAGACTGGTTCACATCAAACTTTCTCAAACAGTGATAAAACAGAAATGTTACTTGTCGGCACTAAATCTTTACTATCCAAAATCCACAGCTTTACACTTCCTGTCGACAACTCCTTAGTTTCCCCCTCCCCTCAGGTCAAGAGTCTGGGTGTCATCCGCGGCTCCTCACTATCCTTCCAGTCCCACATAAACAATATTACCTGGTCTGCCTACTTCCATCTACGTAACATTAACCGCCTTCGCCCCTCCCTCACTACTCACTCGGTCGCCATCCTTGTCCACAGCCTCATCACTTCCCGTATTGACTACTGCAACTCTCCTCTTCGGTCTTCCTCACAAATCCCTCCATAAACTCCAACTTCTCCAGAACTCGGCAGCCCGCATCATGACCAGAACTCCCTCCTTCCACCACATCACCCGTTCTTCAGCAGCTCCACTGGCTCCCAGTCACTTCCAGAATCCAATTCAAAATTCTGCTATATACATTCAAAGCCATCCATAACCTAGCTCCCCCGTACCTCTCAGACCTCCTTCATCCCTCAACCTCCACCCGTCCCCTCAGGTCCTCCTCCTCCATCCACCTCTCCATCTGGTCACTATGGGGAGCAGGGCCTTCAGTCGCTCTGCTCCCCAGCTCTGGAACTCCCTCCCTCCTGACCTCCGTAACATTGACTCCCTCACTCTCTTTAAAACCAGACTAAAAACCCACCTGTCCCGTCTAGCATTCCAATAATTACTCTGTTTTATGCTGTTCTGTCTTTTATTGTTGTGTGTTTTATCTCTGTCTGTAAAGTGTCCTAGAGTGTTTAGAAAGGCACTGTTGAAATAAAATCTATTATTATTATTATTACCCGTTTTCTAGTAATTTTTTAATAAATACTACAATAATGTGTAATTTCAATGAGAGCCCTGTGAATGGTTCAAGAGGCTCACAGCAGGTCACCTTAGTGAAGAAGCTGACCGCTCTGCTGTGGTCCAGACGAGGAGACAGGATGGTCAGCAGGTCATTAAGCAGAAGAGGTTTGTAGTCCAGGTAGAAGGAGACTGATTTGTAGTACAGCTCCACGTTGGCAACCTGAGGCAAAATAAAAAAACAAGAGTTAGGATGATTAAGAAAGGAGAGGTTTTAAGTCAGAAGGATTTCTGTTTACTTTTGCTATGATGTCTTTGAACAGCCCTTCTTTCCAAGCATCCGTCGGATGATTCATCATAGTGATGACGGCGTTGTCGTACTCCTCGTATTTATCGTAAAGGAAAACCAGCTCAGCCCATAAATGAGACTGCTCGGCCGCACGGAGGACCTAAAAATCACAAATATGCTTTTAGATTCACGGCTTGAATAATTTTAGACTTGCATTAACATCATATGTCCGATTTTTCTCCCCTTTATTAAGAAAAGTGATTCAGAAAGGCAGAAGGCTTAATCAGAAATTAGGATTAAGGCAGCAGGACACACTGATGAATAAACACTGAAAATTAACAGCAATAAAGCAGAACAAGGATAATAACATTAAATCCATCAAATCCAAAACCTCTGACACAAACACCCGACCTTTGGAATGTTGACTCTGGACCAGAAGAGCTCCAAATGCTCCTTCATCTTCTGTGGTTTGAACTTTGAGTAGAGGATGGCGAGCTCGGTAAACATGCCCATGTGGGCCCGCTCCAGACCCAGAGCGGCCTCCAGAAGAGCAATGAGCTCCTCGAAGTGACCGCGGTCCTGGTAGTAGCTGATCAGGTCCTCCAGCTCGTCCGCGTGGATCACGATGTGAAGACCGCAGATCTGAGCCAGCCGAAACTCCTCTCCCTCTACACACGCAAAGCAAACCTGTTGAGTGGAGGGAAAAGACGATAAATGAGCCAGAGTTGCAGCTATTGTTAAAAAAAGGAATCACTAACAGGGATGGGTACCTTTGACATTTGAATCGATTCGGTACTAATTCCCAGTACCTAGGAATCGATACCGGTACTTAACGGTACCAATTTTAGATACTTTTGAGTGTTTAATATTTTAATTCTCTTTTATAATTAAATATATATTTTTCTCAATGTATAACCATATTTGATAAATATCACGATAAATAACATACAACTGTTTGTATTTTAACATCGTCCTTGTAGTTTTATAAGCTGATAATTAAACTGAAACAAACATCTTTACTGTGAACTAAATTTACTGTGTATCTTCATTCCTTTTGCCGTCCTTTTTCATTTGATTTTTCCTACTGGGAAGTTAGAATTTCCGAGGAGAAAGCGAACGCACCATTAGCTGATAACAATGGCGGCAATGGAAGCTAACATATCAAGCTAACGTTATCTTAAACAGTTTATTTAGCTGCTGGAGCAGATTAAAACGATGATGCCTCACACTTAGATTGTTGTCGCTGGTTTCATCTTCACCCAATCACCCGTCGCATTTAGTAAAGTGAAGCCGAACTTTAGAGCGCGTTCATGTTCTTCTAGTCGGAAATTCGGAGTTCCGAGGAGAAAGCGAACGCACCATTAGCGGAACGGAAGCTAACAAATCAAGCTAACGTTATCTTAAACATTTTATTTACCTACCGGAGCAGATTAAGATGAGGATGTCTCACTTAGATCGTTGTCGCTGGTTTCATCATCACCCAGTTACCCATCACATTTAGTGAAGTGGACCCAAGCTTTAGCGTGCGTTCTTTCTATCATGCTGCTCTGTTTACAACTCGCTCGCAGCGAGCGACGACATAACACTCTTGCGCATGCGCAGCTGTCTAGGCAAGTTCTCATTATGAAGGACGGGTATCGAAACGAGGCACCGTTTCAAATGACGTGAATCGGTGCTCAGTCGGTACTATGGAATTCGGTCGGTACCTTAAAAAGTAGCGAATTTGGTACCCGTCGCTAATCACTAACAAGAAAACGTGTTTATGTTGCTTACCTCCTTCCACGTCCGTGTGCTGTTGGCTTTTCTTGCACTGTCCACAGCAGCCTGGTACTCTCCCAGGTGCACCAAGGTAGAAGCAAGCCGAGCAAAGTTGGACACGTTGTTGTACAAAAGTTTGGCTGCTTCATACATGCCCTCCTCATAACATCTATCGCCCACCTAAATGAATGAAAATATATCATCATGGAGGAAATCAAAGCATAAAAACTAAACTTCTCAGCTTTGGAAGGCTGAATATTGCAGACGGGACCTCGTTCTAACCTGCTGTATGTGAGCATTGTTGGGTCCGCTGACAAATTCTTCCAGCTCAGCCAAACGGTTCGTTTTAGCTAAAGCAAAAATCAGCTCCGTCTCCACGTACGACTCTCTGGCTTTCTTACGAGCCATCTGTAAGAACTTCACCAAGTCCTCCCAGTTATCTACAACAAAGTCCTTATTAATCACCTCAGATGCAACACACAAAAATACACCCAAGCGTCAGACGTACTGCTCTTGCTGGCTGCGTTCACCACCTCCATGTAAGCAGATGGATCCACGGCTTTAATGTAGGAGTCGATGGCCTCTTTGATCAAGTCTCTTTGCAGCTGAGCTCTGGCTAACTGGCTCCATACCGCGGGCTCGTTGCAGCGTTCTGCAAACTCATAGGCACGGTCCAAGTTCCCAATGTGCTCTATCAGGACCTGCAGGAATGAGAAAAGCAACGAGCGGTGTTGTTGCTGTCATGTTTTACATGAAACTCAGGATTGAAAGCAACAATAAGAGTTTAACACTAAGCTGTTACTTGAAAACTGGTTTCAGTGACTCTTTAGCCGGAAACTTGAGCAACTTCATATGAGACAGCGCCTGCCACCCTCTGCTGACCAGAAACGGACCTGAAGTGTTATGCTTCGGATACCAACACTAGTGCGTACCTTCTTTACGGTAATTTACTGAGCCGGTAGCTCATATAAAGGCTAGTAGTTAGCTTTTTCAGTTCGCCGACTCTGTTGGCATCATGGTGGAGCCTGGAAGTAAAAGTGTAAGTAATGTATCTGGAGGTGAAGCAAAGGGCTAAAACCAGCGTGAACATCAGCACAGCCTGCACTAGTTTTAGGGAGCTAAAGGATCCTATGAAATATGAATCACAGACCGATGGTGGGGCTGCGCAGTGGCGCAGTGGTTAGAGCTGTTGTCTTGCAGCGAGAAGGTTCTGGGTTCGCTTCCCGGCCTGGGATCTTTCTGCATGGAGTTAGCATGTTCTCCCTGTGCATGCGTGGGTTCTCTCCGGGTACTCCAGCTTCCTCCCACAGTCCAAAGTCTACAGTCCCACAGTCTGTCTAAATTGTCCCTAGGTGTGTGTGTGTGTGCGCGCGCGTGCATGGTTGTTTGTCCTGTGTGTCTCTGTGTTGCCCTGCGATGGACTGGCTCTCTGTCCAGGGTGTACCCCGCCTGATTGCCCGTTGGAGATGGGTACCAGCCCCACCCGCGACCCTGCGTGGACAAAGCGGGTTCAGAAAATAGATGGATGGGAAGACTGATTGTGACCTAGCCCTGTTGCTACTGGGCATGTAAAAAAATATATTATTACTTACAACAGTGTGGACCTTTTTACATCATAGGCTATTGTAATTTTATTAGTTCATTAGTTATTTGAATAAGAGTGTTACCAGGTCCTTCACTTCCCATAAGGAAGCATTTGCATGGCTGGCTAGGCTAATAATGTAGCACAAGACTGAGGAGTCAAATTTTTATGCATAAAAGCACTCTGAATGCAATCTGACCTAGCCCCTATTCTGAAGCAGCTTTGTTGTACCTGTATGGCTGAGGTGTTCACGTCAAACTTCTTGAAAATGGCAAACGCCTCTTCAAAGAGCTCATTGCTGATGGCAATGTTAGCGATATCAGGAGCATCGTAGTTATCCAGCTTGTTAATGTACTCCATCACACGCGTGCGATCCGCCTTGATCGCCGTCAAAATCAGCAGATTCTGCAGGTTTCTAGATGAAATAAGTGCGGTTAATTAAAAATGAAGAACTCTATGTATACTTTATACTAATTTAATCAGAGAACTTGGCAACGTACCGGTGTTCACTGAACACAGAGTTGTCAAGTACTATCTTCTCCAGCAACTCGATCAGCTCGTTGGGCAGGTCTGCAGTCATGAAGGCCTTGACTGTGACGGACACCTCCTCTGGGTCCTGGGTCTCAGAAAGCGCCGTCTGAACCACCTGAGGAGACATCAAATGCAGGATTGCTGCAGCGAAAACGCTCGGGTTTGAGGTGCCTTCAGGCGCAGAGCTGCAGGAAAGCAAACCTGGTCGATGAGCTGTCTCCTGAAAGGATTGTTTTCTTCCAACACCTTTGCCCAAAGCTCTGGATCTTTCCGGCGTACGAGATATCGAGCCTCGCTCTTGAATAATGAGTTCTCGTTGCACACCTGGCAGAGGAACACATCGAGTTGGTAAAAGTATCTCCTTACACAGATCTAAAAATATGTTTCAAGCCAAGTTTACAGACTTTGATGAGCTCCAGGTCGCACTGTCCTCTCTCATAAGCCACACAGGCCAGGTGGGGGTCTCTCTTCTCACAGTACCGGCCGACCACGGTGCTGTCGTAGAACGGGTTTTCCTTCAGGAACTTCTCCGGCGTGTTGTTGCTGTCGATGTAGATCTTGGCAAGGGCATTGTGGGTAGCTGGCTCCTCACATCCTTCGTGGATACGCGACTCCAGCCACGGCAACAGAAGTTTCAACCTGATACGACAGGGGAAAAAAAAAACATGCAAAAAGGAGCAGTTAAGAAAAAATGCACGAATATTTATTAGAAAAATATGTTAAAAAAATTCTGTAATAAAATGTTTTGTGGAATTATTTAATATTTAATTTGATTCGTGTGGCGGGTAATGCTCTTTAACTACAAGCTGCAAAGAAATGACTCAGCAGAACCTCCTTTTGGACCAAACCGACGGCAGAATTTCCATTTAGTAAAGCGCGACTCCGACACTAGATGGCAGTGTTGAGCATCCAGAAAACATTTTTACATTTGCATCTTTTCCCAACATCGACCCACCGTCTCACATCGCTGGAGCACCAAGAACCAAAACAGACGAGAGCCGTCCACGTGGTCTCACCTGTTCCTCTTCTCCACCTCCTCCACCAGATCATCAGTAGAAAACTGCCCCCTGACCACCATGATCAGGTTTTTAATGACATCCTCGGAGCAATCAACATCCAACAAACCACCGATCACCACAGGCAGGCGGCTGGGGTTCACCTGGGAGCACACGCAGCACATCCAAGATCACATTTAAGACCGACACCGTCCACCAAGTCTCAACAGAACACCGGATCTTACTTTCTGCACGTAGATTTCAATGTACTTCTGCAGACTGTTTCTGTAGAGGTAGAGCACCAGGTCATGGACGAAGTCAAAGCGATCGCACACGATGATGAGGGGAAGCTGGTCTGTTAGCTTAGCCTCCTGTGGGACACAATAACCATCAGGAACGATTCTACGAGCGGGACTCTGAGCACCCGCTGAGCAGCTGTTGTACCTTGAGGAAATTTTTAACCCTCTCAGGGTCGTAGCAGTTGCTCTCTCTGCAGATTCGCTCCACTTCTTTGATCTGACCAGTTTTACAAGCAGCCTGGATGTATTTAAAGTGAACGTCGGGCTCCTGGCTGAAATTCACAATCGACCCAAGGAAGTAAAATAAGCCTTGAATTGGGATTTCAGCAGAGGGAAAGAAAACAACAGGTTATCTCTTGATGCACAAAAACAGAGGAAGAGAGCACTTCACACACTGGAACACGACTCAGAGCGCCCACCTTCGTAACTCTTGAAGGACTCGAAGAGCTCGACTAACGCCGGAGTTCCCAGCTGCTCGTGATACTTCGATGCAACCTGGACACACAGCTGCAGGTTCTGCCTGATGTTAGCCGACAGCATGGCCCTTAAACACTCCAACGAGTCTTCAACGGACAAGGAGCCAAAAAAGTTCACCAGCCACTATAAAAACATTAATAAATAAGACTTTCATCAATTCTGAAGAAAATAAAATGTGTTCTCGCTCGACAGAGCGGCGTTCACACGTGTGGCTGCCCTCGTACAGACGCACCTCGGGGTTGAGCAGATGTGTGTGCACCACGGCTCGCTTGATGTCGTACAGGTCGGTGTAATGTTCCAGAGCTCTCTGCAGCAGGCCCGCCTTCTCACACAGCTGAGCAACGTGGGCTCGGTCATAGTGTGTGAACATCTGGTTCCCCAGGATGGCATCTGCTACCTAAAAATGTGCATGTACACATGAACACACAAATCACAGCGAGCGTCTGTTAGCGTCCAGGTGAAGACAGCCACACGGCAGCTTTTCTGCTCTCCACACCCAGCCAGGAGTCAAAAACAAACTCCTTTCTTATTTATTTCAGTTACACTTTTTGCAATTTTGCCAAGTTTTTAGGCTACTTCACCTCGTGGTTTCTTTATAGACACGACTTGGAGCTTTTACAACACTAATACTGTAGGAGGGAATCTTGGCTTTAAACTCCGCTACGCCGTAAGCCGAGCTCCGAATGCAAACCAACACCGGCCCTTCTACCCTCGGTGTAAAAAGCATTGTTGGCTACTGACACCGGGATGCCGACTGCATTAATATTATCAACTGTTAATTTATTTTTGCAATTAGGAGGGAAATGCCAGTGGGAGAGTTCACCTGGGGGGCGTGTATCAGGTTCATCTCAAGCAGACGCGTCTGCAGGTGTCCTTCAGCTGGTCGGTTGTTCTTTAAAGCATCCAACAGGAAAGAGGTGCACTGCTGAATCAGGCTTCCCTCCATGAAAACGTCAACAACCTACCAAAGAGACATTAAAGAGAGGTATAAAATAAACAAGCATAAAGGTCACGGACGAGAAAAGATCAGCCAGATGTTCCTGCTCTCCTCATTTCCTGCTAAACTTCCACTTTTCATCCGTTTGCCGTTGAAAGGTAGCAGAACGATGATGTGGCTTCAAAAGGGGAAGGGAGTTACTGACTCTGTGGATTCCTGACATTGCTGGCACATCTGGAATAACAGAAACGGAGACTCCTACACTGGGCACGTTGTACGTTCCTGTACGTGTGCACGGGTAAAATAAATAACTAGGTGGACGTGGGAGCTTCTTAGTTACGCTGATGCCCGAGTTACCTGGTTGATGTTGGCTAGCGGCTCCTCGTCTTGGATCAGCATCTGGGCGAACTGGAGTCCCTGGTCTGGATTCACACGCATCACATTCCTTAAGAGAAACACCCAGTCTGGGGTGTAGCCCACCTATACGAAGACAGAAGGGTGAAAATGTGTAAATTCACATTTAAAAACAGCTAAATTTCCATAAAAATATCAAGCATGCATTCATGTTCAGCCTGTGTTGACTGAGGAGTTGCTGAATACCTTCTTAGCATACAGAACAATCTTCTGGAACTGCCCAGTTTCTGCAAAGCACTGAATGACTTTGTTGGGGACGTTAGCTCTGAGATAAACACTAAGAGCAAGTGTTGGGTCAGTGGCCTTCACCAGGTCTCCCAGCTCCTCGGAGCACTCCAGCTGTGATTTATTCCATAAGAACATGATCAGACATCCCATCATCAACAATCAGCCCCAGACCTGAGCCGTCTCATGCTCCCGTCCTACCTTGTCCTCCTTCAGCCATTTCTCCAGCAGCTGCTTGCGGCCCTGCTGCAGGACAGGCCTGCACAGCTCCAGAGACTCAAACTTGTTGAGCTGGCCCTGGTCCAACAGAATACCAAAGTACTGCAAGAGCGGGGAGGCCTGGCCCGGCTGGGCCGGGACG